TATTGTTTTTGGTTTCACCCAAAAAGCCATCATACCAATGGAGATAATTATCCTATCTTATATATCCATGATCATCTCCTTCCCTAGTCAATGTGAGACTTTGTTTGCAATCACCTTACAAATCCAACAGTTTGAATAGATGAATAAGATAAGATCGAGGTTTTCAAACTTGCTCTTTATAAACTCTTCCTCTTCCAACCACGATGTTATTAATGAGGAAAGGAACGTACCCAAAAGGATTTAAAGAATAGGGAGATTAGGTTTTTGAAGTCACACTCTATTTCAATACATTTATTATGTTAGGTGGAGAAGTATTTTTCATCTCAAACCTTTGCGTTAAATCTTTTGAGAGTAGTTTTCTCCTCCACACAATACTTAGGGGCAGTCCCTTTTAAAGATTAGTTCACGAGAGGGAGATATAGAGCTATAAAATATTGTTGTTTAGCTATGCTTGAGAGAAGTTTGGGGTGGTTTGAATAAGAAAAAGGATTTCGAGAGAACATAATTGTTGTTGTCTTGAACGAAATTTCAACACGAAATCTTATCTACGCTATTCAGACGTGCACCCTTCAGAATCAGATTGCAATCAGATCGAAAGCTCAGAAAGATGAAACCACACGTGTGAACCTTCCTATGTGTGACAAGAGTTCAGCATCTTTTGCTTTGTCATTCCCAACGGTTCAGGATTCTCAAAGTTTATTATGTTAGAAAGATTGTATTGAATGCTGCACATTTTTCTAATTTTTCCCATGTTTCTTATGCAGCTCCTTTGTTCTTCTACACCAAAATTTAGAAATGGTTCATGTGGGCCAACTTGAGCATAAATTCAATTGGTTTTAGATATATATTCTCAATTAATGGGTTGCAGGTTTGAATCTGTACATGTTTTTGAACTAAGAAAAAAGAAAAAAATATATATATGGAAGCTCAATCACATCACTTCTTTAATACAAAGATCTCTCTTTTTCCTTCCAATAAAAACTTTCCTTTTCTTTATCCTTGGAAAAACTCATAACCCCAAAACTTTTTCAATAATTAGAGGGAGAGCTAAGCATTTCTAATGATAGACTTAAAGATATAAGAAACCAATTTTTTAAAAGACACGAATTATGGATCTCAGTACCTTTTGAGATTTTGAGAAGAGTTGCTCTTTGGAGAGCACAGTACGATGAAAGTTGTAAGCTGTGTTCGGGGGGGAGTTATTGTCTATYGTTGGCCTCTATGGTAGAATCAGTCGGGGGCCTGAGAGGCGGTGGTTTACCTTGTGGCGGATGTCAGCGGTTCGAGTCCGCTTATCTCCAACTCGTGAACTTAGCCGATACAAAGCTATATGATAGCACTCCATTTTTCCGATTCGGCAGTTCGATCTCAAAAGATGATTGAATTTCTTTTTCCAGTGTTCTTGCTTTCCTAACTAGCTTATTGGGGGTTGCCCTACCAAATTTTTTAAAAAGACATAAATTACTGACTTCAAAAATGATTGATTTCCCTTTTTTTTCCCTCTAGAAAATGATTAAGCTTAAGCTTAAACCTAGGACGTTTCGTTCTGATACCATGTTGAGGATGAATAAACCATCACTCAATCCAAAAGCTTAAGCTGATGGGTTGGATAAATTTAATTCAAATATTGGATATCCAACAAGAAATAGGGTGAGTTTGAGGATAAGTTTTTATTTGGTCCCTTAAGTTTTAAAAACTGGCATTTTAATCATCAACCTTTTGAAAATGATTCTAAATATTCTCTCGGGACAAATTAACCACTGCTGGAGGGGGAACCAATGAAAAGGGGGAAGGGAAGGAAACGAATGGAAACTGTCGCATCAGTAGTAGAAAGAAATATTTTAACACCTCATTTTAAAAATTCAAGTAAGTAGAATCTACCCGTCAATTTAACTACCACGTCATTTTTTTGTTAAATACATTAAGCGTTAATTCGTTCTCAAGAACTATTTAAAATTATTTTCTAAAACTTGGAGGTTAAAATGTCGAACTTTTGAAACCTAAAAAATCAAATAGAAACATATCTTCAAATTCAACGGAAATACATATTTAAAAACCAAAGGTTTGAAACAGGTTTTGAGAGTAAATTAAGGAGGTCCAATTTGGCATACTTGAATGGACCTACCCTAGTGGGCTTCTTGGTGGTTGAGTCCTAAGCTAAACCTAACCTTCCTAATCAGGAAAAGAAAACAGAAATAGACAATTATTTATTTATTTATTTATTTTTATATATTTAAAAAACCTTTTTTTTAATATACTAAAGATATTGTAAAGGAAATATTATTAATCTAGAATACTTTTTTAAATGTTTTATGGTATTTTATTACATATTCAAAAGTGCTCGACTTTTTTCTACAAATATTCTAGATTACTTTCGGATAAAATATTTATTTGGTGTCTTTTTTAAATTCAAAAGTATTAGTATTAGTACGAACAGTTCTTTATTTAAAAAATTATTCCTTAAAAAATGTTCAATAATTTACTGGATAAGATTTAATAATCATTTGAGTTCGAGACTTGTAAAAATGAAAAAAATCATTTTTTATTGGCCGTATTGAACACTGATATTTGTTTTTAATTTCTATTTTTTAAGAAAAATATTAAAGTATTTCTGAAATAGATAATCACCATGAAACTTTAACAAAATCATTTTAATTAGATTGAATTCACTTTTAAAATATTAAAAATAGAATTTCCAAACACATTCTTAACTATTGATATGCAATTATTTTTTTTTTCTATTCAATGGTACTTTCATTTTTTTTAAAAAAAAAACTTGCTCATATTTTTAAAAATTCACAAGGGCTTCAATTAATTATAAATTTATCTTCTATTCTAAAAATATATATATAAATTTATCTTTACGCTGAGAAAATGTAGGTATGTTCACCGAAACTAAATTTTAATAATCCTCTCATTAATAGATATAATTATTATAACCATTGTTCATTCAATTAAAAAATTAATAATTAAATTTTATTTTAATTATAAAAATATATAAAAAAAAGAAGTAACCTAATTTAATGTATGATATGATTATTAGGCAGGAGGATCCAATGCTAAGTTATAATCACATCTAAATTAAGGAAATTATGAAATTATGAAAGTAATTAGATTAGCCATCTTGTTAATCTCGCCAGCCAACTAGGATACAGCGAGAGAACTCCCCAATTGAAAGTTCCACATTAATAACATTATAGTTCACACAAATTTAGAACATTTATTCAATATAATTTACATAACTAGATAGTTTCTTTAATATTATGGTCATGATATGACTCACTATCGTATATATTCATCGATAAAGTTATTTTTTTAATTCTCTTGTATGGGATAAAAACAGATATGTTACGTGGAGAACAACGGAAACTCCAAAGACAAGATCTGTTCTAGAACCTCGGAGTCATTTAGCGACCGACCTTTAAACTTATCCAAAAGGTAAACTAAGTGAACTCCATTTGGTTAAAGATCTCGCTTGACTCCGACCTTGTGCGCCCGACAGAACGGCCTATGGTAACAAACTTTTCGAAAAGCGCGTAACTGACAGTTTGGATGTCTTTGTCAAATCTCAACCCTATAAATAGAGAGCATTATTATGGCATCAAGTGCGCAATCAAAGCTCGATATTACACTTAAAGTCGAACTCCTATTGATTTAAACGCCAAATTGTTTACCTCTCTTGTGCAAGTCTTCCTTGCCAAGTGGACACTCAAACTCGACCTAGTACTTAATCTTCAACGATTCCGAGCTAGACCAAGAATCACCATAAGCATTCTTCTTGAAAGTTTAAACATCCTACTTTAGTCTATAATTTTTCAAATATTACTAGCTCCCTAAACTTTACTTAAAAAAACTATTTTAGTCATTCATGTTAAAAGTTTGATCAATTTTAAAATATAACATTTATTTCATTACATGTGATTTTAAATATTTGTTAATAAAATCGAGTAGACGAACAAAAGACACACGACCTGTAATTAACAATAATGGGTGAAATTACATTTTATGCAAATACACATGGTAAAATAAAAAATGTAAAAATGTAAAATTTAAAATACAATAAATATAAAAATTTGCAGGCAGAATTTGCTGACGGGATTTGGATTGGGGTGACAGCAAGAGATAAACCTTGGAAAGAGAGTGGGAGTGGACGCTATTGGGCCATCTTCTTTCTTAATGACACCCACAGGGCACAGGCCCGTTTAATAATAATTATAATAATTATTTATTATTGTTATTATTATTTATTAAAAAAAAAAAAGGTCCATCCTGATCCATCATGTCGTTTCATGATCAATCATCAATGTTTGTTCACATGCGACGGCACTCGAACGAAACCCATTTCTTTAGAAAAAAAAAATAATAAAATTAAAAAAACTTTCTAAGAAAAAGTAACAATAAAAGAAGCAAAAATTTAAATACTATTATTTTTTTAGTAAAATAAGTGAAAGCGGAAAATTCATACTTATGATTTATTGGTCAAATACATATGCCAATTATACGTTGAACTAAGTCCATATTAACAATTTAAATAATACTGTGATGATATATTTTTTATCTTGATTGATGTCTTGTTTTGATTAGCGTAATTTCAATTTTTGTTCATTTTTTAAACCTGATTTTGATTTATATATTTTATTAATTATAGCATAACATTTTATTTATTAATTTTTTATTGTAATAAATTTATATTAAAATTTTCTTTTGGAAATATAGACTAAATTGATATTTTTTACTGAGCATGAGAACAATTTTTTTTCTTAAAGTATATAATCAAAATAAATCAAAGTTTAAACGAAAGAGATATGTTGTTTGAGTATTTATTTTAGTAAATAAACTTAAATCTCGTTATCATACCACCAGCGAGTGTTTCAAACGAAACGAATATTGAGTAAGTAGATATTTAAAATAAAAAATTTAGAATAAATAGGATTAAATAAGAAAAATTAAAAAACTCAATCGCAATACAATATAATATATGCGAAAAGGAAAGAAAAGGAATAGGAGATTTATAAGTAAGAAACTAGAACTAGAAGGGAAGCGGCGTGGTCATTTGTGTGTCCGAGCCCTGTTTTTAGCAGAGAGAAAAGAAACAGAGGAATGGCGGATTCTTTCGACGAAGAGTGCGATTATCTGTTCAAGGCGGTTCTGACCGGCGACTCCGGCGTCGGAAAATCCAATCTCCTCTCCCGATTCGCAAAATCAGAGTTCCGTTTGGACTCCAAGCCGACCATCGGCGTCGAATTCGCTTACCGGAATATCAAGGTCGCCGGTAAGCTCATCAAGGCCCAAATCTGGGACACCGCCGGCCAAGAAAGGTACGCTCCCACCCTTCTTCTTCCTCCTCTTCCTCTCTTTTTTTCTTTTCTCTCTCCTTTCAATCGATAAAATAGAGGGAAAATTCTGTTGATAGGATTTTTAGGGTGTGTTTTGTTTGGTTCTAAATTTCATGTTTTGATAGCTTATTGATTTTTAAATTAGGACACTTTAGTCTAAAACGAACATAACTAGTGGTCATCGGCTCTGATCATAGGTCGTAGATTTTAAAAAAAAATTAGGAACAGTTTAGAATTTACAATTAACTTAATCTCGGTATGATTAAGTGAATAAGACATTATTATCCGTATAAGATATCCCTTAGAATTGGAGAAGAAGAGAGAAAAAAAAAAATATTTGTTTGTGTGGTAAGTGTAAGGCCGGCCTATTATCTAAATCATATTTGTGTTTTTTTTCCTTATTTGTTTGAAGGGAATCATATTTATGTGTTTAAAATACTAATTTTCAACTTTTTTTTCACCTTACAAATTTGACGTGAATATTATTTAAATAGTTAAATTTTAGTGTTTCTTTCTTTTTATAATCTCACAAGTCTACAATTAGAGGCAATTAGTGAACTATGTTAGTTTTATTTCTGTTACATACTTTTCTTCTCCGATGATATTTACATGTTATCCATAGTGACGACATATAGGAGTAAATCACTATTGACTCAATGATGATTTTTCAATCGAGTAAATCACATGAATTAATTCTATTGACTCAATGATGGCTTCTTAATCGAGTATGTATTTTAAAATTTTGTGAATCACAATAGGTATTTGAAGTTATGAGTTACTCCTTCTTAAAAATGTAGTATTCCTTTCAATAATTTGACAAATGGTATTTAAAAAAGAAAATTTTTTTCACAAGGATTGGACCATTTTTCTTAGTTCAATGACTAAGCTTGAGATATCTAATGGGTTTCAATCAATAATAATGATCAAACCCTATTAGTCAAAATTATGGATTAAAAAGGAGAAAATTTTGATCTTTTTGGAGGGACCCATAAACCTAAAAAGAGAGATGAAACTTGTCCTCTTGTGTCTGATTGAAGGCTAATATGTCTCCAAATTAAACAAATGCATTACCCAAAAAAAAGGAGAGTTGATAGAAGGAATAAAGTGCCTCAATTTTAATTATAAACTTTTTGAAACTTTAGTTTAAGGTATTTATTATTAATCCACCTTTTCCTACCCATTTTTATTCTCTCGAGTCATCAGCCAATTTTGAGCACTAGATAGTTGGACTTTAGTCATTTTTTTAGGTGGGACGGAAGATTTGAATGTCTGACATCGAGAAAATTATTATATACCTTAATCGATTATATATTTTAATTGTTGAATTATGTTTATGTTGGCTGACCATATATATATTTTTTAACTAAGAGTGAGCAAAGAAATATGGAGAGATAACTTTCCTTTCTTAATGTATTTTATATTTGAAAAATTATACAAAAATGTTAAATTTGTTCATTAGAATTTATGAACAAAAATTAAATCAAAGGATAAAACGATCAATTATCCAAATTTTAAAGAAAAATCTATGTTTTAAAAAATTGTTTTGGAAACAAAAAAAAATTTGTTCCAACATGAATAAAAGTATTTTTTTTATCATTATTTTTTTTATTAAAAAAGAAAAAAAAACTTAATCGGGACATTATCAAACAAGAAGTAACCAATCTATTTTTTTTAGTGTGACAAATAAATGAATGGCTTTCCCCACATGTGTTTTCCCTTTTATTTTTTCTTTTGTTAATCAATCCAACGAGGACTTGCCACGTAGAACTATTTTAGGAACAAAATTGGTCATAAAAGTAGGGGAAAATAACATTAAAGAAAGGTATAATTATTGTTTTCCAATTTCCGCAAACAAATGCCGTATTTTCCGAAAAGGCGACAGTTTTTTAAAGTGAACTTTGTCATCGTCAGATAAATTATTTATATTTTGTATAAAATATTTGAGAACGGTATTTAACTCAAAGATATAAAATATTATTTATTGTCTTAATATATTACTATCCAATTTTATTATGATTTTATTTTCTATTTCTTGTTCTGTTTTGTTTAATGTTTCCTTCTAAAAAATTAATTCAAAATCTTAACTAAATTATACGTTAAAATATAGTTTAGATATTTTAAATTCATCTCTATTTCTAATTAGATCTCTAAATTTTAAAAAATTTTAAAAAATTTAGTCATCTTGTTGTTGTTATATTTAACAAATAATGTATGATTTGTTTTCTTGTTGTTTGAATTTATTATTAGAGATATTCAACATTTTCTCAATTTCAAAGACTAATGTTTTAGTTTAAATTTAATTATGATATATAGATTTAGGGCAATTACAAGTTCATATTATCGAGGAGCACTAGGGGCATTGCTCGTTTACGATGTAACCCGAGTGGCGACATTTGAGAACGTGAAGAAGTGGCTACGGGAATTGAGAGAGTTCGGAAATTCAGACATGGTCATAATTCTCGTGGGAAACAAATGCGATTTGGGTCATTCTCGCGAAGTGCAAGAAGAGGAAGGGCGGCTCTTAGCGGAGTCAGAATCATTATTTTTTATGGAAACTTCTGCTATGAAAAATGTGAATGTGGAAGAAGTATTCCTCCAAATGGTTCGTAGGATCCATGAGATTGCTTCCCAAAAAGCTTTGGATTTACCTAAACAAATTGAAAAGCTTGCTGCTTTTCCAAATGGGAAAGAGATTATTAGCATTCATGATGTAACTCCAACCAAACCTGATTCTTATTGTTGCTCTATATGAAAATTTTGTATTAAATACAGTTTGAAACTCTTAATCTTTTTTAGTTTTTATATTTATATATATACATATATAATAAATATTTTAGTTATAGCCTTTAAATATATACAATCATCATGTCTAATATTTGACTTATAAAAAAGAAGTCTAATATTTGACTTTGAATTTAGATAACCTTTATTAGAATTTCATTAAATAAATAATTGATGCTACCTTAATTGCAATATTTTGTACTAAAAAAATGTAATATTTGAGGTATGATTGGGAAAATATCGTATATCCTATTCGTTTAGTGAATGTAATATCATAAATTATAGTTCATTGTTGATATTAATTTTCACCACAATTTGATATTCTACCTAACCCAACCAACTTACCCCATAATTTTAACAATAATCATACTAGAAAATGGCTAATAGAAAAAAAAAGAAAAAACAAGAAAATGAAATATGAATGCAGACATTACTTACATAAATTGAAAGGATAAGAAATTAGAATGAAAATAAATCCAAATGAAATTGATCTGAACGAGAATGATAAAAATCAGATGTATAACCATAACTATAACACCCCTTCTTATTTATAGCTAATTACAAAATAAAGAATAAAAAAAGGATTAACGAGGTTGTTTGTTTGCAAGGATAATATAATCGTCTCGCATGATAACGAGCGCAAACTATTAACTCTGGACAGTATACGAATATCACAGGAACCAAACAGGCCTTTAAAGATTGGAAATTTGAGACGCAGATTAACGAATGCGTCGGTTACAGGGTGGTTCTCACTCGTGTGTGACAGACCACTGATGGTTCTCAGATCTCTGTGACTCCAAACCGTGGGACCCACCCAGAAAATTCAGCAACAATCCACGCGTTACCCTTCCACGTGACCCGCTTGTCACTGTAGACATCTCGGCCCTCCCCCCCTTCTTTCTCTCCCTCTGCCCTCTATTGTCCTGCTTCTTCTTCAATTCTCTGCAAGTGCCACATCTCAATCAAAATCCACGACGCTGCTTTGGAAAATTGTTATTATTGTATTTAATTTGATGAGAGTTGACTAGGTTTCTCCTCTGATTTCAATTTCTCTCGGAGGAAGCTGAATCGCTGGGAAGGATCATGGCTAATTGGATCTCCTCCAAGCTCAAAGCGGCTGAGAGCATTCTCCAGCAGGTGAATTTCCCCTTCCCTTCCCTCTTTCTTTTTGTTCTTATTGTTTTCTTTTTGAGAGTTCAGTGGGAAGTCGAGAGGTAATTCGATTTTCTTTTTCTTGTGCGTTCTTTGGAAATTGTAGATCCGTAATGAGTCATGTCTCTTGATTTTTGGAGAATCTAGCTGCGCATTACCGCATTGACAGTGTAATTTATCTCTATGTGGATGTATGTTTTGCTTTGCTTCGTTTCTTGAGGTTGTTTCTTTGTGTTTGTGTGAAATGGACAATTCAGATCGATCAGCAAGCGGCGGAGTCGCTTAAGAAGGGCGAAAGGCCTCCAGCGGTGGATAGTCTCGAAGCTACTAGTAAAACTGGGGATATTTTGCCTTTAAAGGATCAGCTCAAGAAGAAGAACCAATTAGACAACGATTATCATGGCAAAGTGCGCAGTGATTTAAGTTTGAACGTCAGCAGAAACCAGGATAATGTGATTTCTGCCGTGTCGAAACCCTCGCCAAAATCACCTACTCTTACGGATAGTGACTGGACCGAACTGCTCGGTACACCTAATCAACCTTCAACTTCGGCTGCATCCCGCAGTAATGGTTCATCTTCAATTCGTGGTGTGAAGAGAGACGGTCGCAGACCAAATAATGGAGGTTCAAATATTTCGGTGCTGGATTTCAAGAAAACTCAGAACACTAAAAGTAACAAGTCCATTGGGGAAACAAAGAAATTAAATAGGAAAGCAAGTGATGTGGAAGAATCTAATATTTCAGTTTCGTTGGGGACAAATTCAAGAGTTGATCCGAAAAATGATAAAAATGTTGCACACTCCGAAGGCCAAGAATTGGATAAAAAAGAGGCTGGAGGCAATATGTTAGTCCAAGCAAAAAGTGTGGAAAAAAAAGAAATTGGTGGGGATTTTGATTCTAAGGGTTTTACTTTAGAGAAATCTGTGCTAGCAATACGAAATGGTCAGTCTTCAGAAACAGTGCCGGATAGAGATCAAGCTAAGAGGATATCTGATATGAATTCCATTATGAAAGATGCTCAAAATCATCGAGGAAGTGGTGTTTCTGGGAAGCATAAATCAGACGAAGTTTCTCGTAGTTCTATATCTGATGATGTAAGAAAAGAGTGGACAGGCTCTTCAACTAGTGATGGGAGTTCTGGTTCAGATTCGGACTCAGGTTCAGCTTCTGATTTTGAAATTGAACGTGAGAGGGAAGAAAGGAGAAAAAAGAGGGAGAAATTTCTGGCTGAGAAAGCAGCAGCCAAAGCAATGGAGGCTATCAAAGAACAGGAAGACTTGGTTGCCAGACTGGAGGGTGAGAAGCAGAGCCTGGAAAAAATACTGGAGGATCGAGCAAGAAAGCAAGCAGAAGAGGTAAATTGTGTAGTTTCTTCTTATTAAATTTAGAATGAGTTTGATAATCAATTTTGTGTCTGAATCTGCTCAATGTGAATTTTGAATTGTGGTTCTATTACACCAAAAAGAAAAGAAAAACAAAAAAAAAGAAAAGCCAGGATACTAAATAAGTATCCTTATAAGAAAAAAAATTATGAACTTGAACAAATCACCAGGCAGACCTCTATCCACTTGTATTCTGAAAGAGATATACTTCAATTCCCAATTTAAGATGCCTTTTCAAAAAATTTTAACTATAATATATGATAATCAGCTCCTTCCCAAGCGTTGTGGAAACCAATTGGCTCTATTTTAGTCATTCAATCTGGACATTTAAAGTTGCTATAAGTTACTTCCCTTTGATATCTCTTCCCTAATCGATCCATCTATGCTGACTCACCTACCGTGAAGCATTCTCAGGAAGCAGTTTTTGAACTTTTTGGAGGAAGTAAGATGAATAATCGAATATTTGTTCAATTTTTAAAATTAGAAACGGTTTTATGTTGGTGAAGATGGAACTAGGAAATCCTAAAAAAAAATAAAGAAGATGGAATTATGATATAGAAGTGTGCTTAAGCTAACAGACTTTGATACATAATTTATCCAAAATGAAATTAAGGCTTACAATGTAATCCTATAATAATGACAAAAAACTCCAGTTTCTCACATCCCAATTAAAATATGATTAATAATATGCATAATTGAATTAAACATATTTATAAATCCAGTTGGGATAAAAATACAATATTCCAACCGTTGGCCTTTAGTTAGCCTGCTTTCTTTTTGCCATATAGGTGCCAGGTTAGTTGAAAAGATACCTATTTATGAGGCAACTTTCTTGCGGCTTTTAATCTCTGTTGGATACATTTTTCATTTTTGTACTTTGTTTTGAATGGACTATGAACAATTCGTCAATACCCAAATTCTGATGTGTGGAATATCGATTTTATTTTACAATGCATATGCATATATTTTTAAAATTCAGGCTTCAGAGCTGCAGACATCTATGATGGAAACAATGGAGGCTGTTGAGCTTGAGAAGCAGAAGCACAATGAAACTCGTAGAGAAGCCCTTGCTATAATGGCCAAGCTTGAGGTAATCAACCCACAACATGTTTCTGTTTTTATAGTTATTTCTTCCTAGTGCTTTTGGTGATAAATATTGCACCTTTTTGAAGAATATTACGTGAGCTTTTTATTGTTTTACATTACTAAAGCAATATATGGTTTGCAGACTGAAAATGCCGATCTTGCAAGAGCCCTTGCTTCTGTACAATGGAATCTTGAGTTAGAGGTATGATGAGGATTGGTAGGTTAATATAGGCCACTATATTGATGCGTTGGAAGAATTGTTTATATTCATGCCAATCAGCCGCTTATTAGCCATGAATCCCATTTGAACTTAACTAGCCTATCATATAATGTAAAAATATGCAGGTCCTCCTTATCTAACAGTCAAATTTAAGTATTGTACTTAGTTGTAGTAGTTATAATGATTTAGCATATAAAAATAGACGACTTTGATTCAACAAATTTACTTAAAAAATTTACAGAATGATGGAAAAAGACTACTACCCGGTACCCATAACTTTCATTAGTGAAGATTTAAATGGACACATTAAAAAGTCGTTATTAACACATTTACAAATCAAGGGTGTTTGCCATTATTGAATCTTAATTGATTTCTCTGCCTTCGTAACCTAGTGGTCAAATTAAATGTTTTAGTAACATAGGCCTTACTCTATTTCCCTTTTTGGCCTTATCTCATTGAAGACTAACGATGACTGCCAAACAACAATCTTATGGTTTTTATATCTAAATATTGCGAAAGATAACTGGTCCTGCATCTTGTAATGTTTCATAGCCCACGTCTACCTTTCCTGCTTGAACTTTGCAACATTTCTGTCTGCTTATGAGTTATGGGCAAATGCAATATCTTTACCTCTACTTCATACTGTACAAGTATTTGATGGATGAGAGCAATGGGGCTTTATGTTTCATCTTCTTGGACCAGGGTAAGCGGGTTGCAGGACTTCGACAGCAGATTGAATTGAAAGAAACAACTCATGAAGGTACAATTGTTCTTCTGACAAACTGATCTTACTATTGATTTGAGAAGAAACCCTCTTCAGATTTTGAGAGAGATTGGCACTGAAAGATGGACGCTAATTTTGATTGCCTACTTGATTCAAATTGAGTATTCTTTTTGGAATTTGTTGCCATAATATTTCTTCAAATTTTTATGAATTTCCAATTCTATAGTTGGCAATACATCAGTTTTGGGTTTTCTGTGAAAGCTCCAGTTCTCTTCTTTCATAGTAAGATAAGAAAGAACGAACTAAAAGTACAAAGAGTAGTAGAGGAACTCAAACTTTGACTTTTAAAACACACACATTTTTAATTGATGAGACTTGATTGCGAGATATTTCCTACAAATATTAGTTGGAAATGGTAAGTTGCAGTATTAGTTGCTTGTTTCTGTCTGTGGCAGGTTTAATCTGACTGCACGATCAGTACTTCTCAAAATGGTTCTCATCATTGTTTTTTTCCTAAACAAATAACCAAGGACATGAATTAATGAGCCAAAAAAAAAAAAATAACAACCTAAAGGGAGTCCTATGCCAAAGAGGAAGAATGAAACAGGAGGCTTTAAATCTAAATTGATGAGAAAAGTGGGAACATTAGAAGTGTGGAGCATTCTAATTAGAGACTGTAAATTGTACACGATCACAAAAATTAACAAAAGAATTATTGAAAAAATCTGGAATGCCTTTCTTCCCAAAGCAGTCGAGGGAGAGCTCTAATAGCATTTGACCACAAACCACTAGTTTTATTTTTGAGCCACTAACTTGAGAGCAACTCTAGAAGCCCGCCTTCCACCTTTTTGGGACAGCACCAAGCTAGATCAAAGCGTTGATAAATGAAGTTTCAATCTTTGGAGGCAATTTGAAATGGAAAAAAGTTGACTCAAGGTTTCATCACTGTTGCATTGATCAAGGTCCAAGGTTCTCACTTCTCATCGTGGATAATGATTATAAATTAGTATAAGCAATGAAGAAGTTAACATTCTTTACTAATGGTAGAACTATCTAACTTCATTTCGTCAAAGTACTGTTTTATAGTCCTAACCATATTTGTAAAGCTAGGTCAAGTCAAATGCACTTAATTGTATATCAATAATCTGATCGTCTTGTTATCACGTTATATTGGTTAATCAAATTTTCATGTGACTCGAGCATCCATGTGGATCACGGACATGTTTGTATATAGTTTGGATTATAATATAAGATACTCCATGTGGATTGTGAACATGTTTCTATAGACTTTTGACATTTTGGTATGGTCAATATTGTAAGCGTTTTGTTGCTAATTGTATTATAGTTCTTGAAAGCTCTTGCTTTGTTGTAGAACTTAGGAGGAGGATTGCAAGCTCTCATCAAGCTGGAACATCGACAAAACCAGTAAGAATTCATTTGCTTGTGATTGTACCAGTTCTCTTGTAGCAGTTTCTCTCTTCTTTCTTTTCTCCCCTCTTTTTGCCCCCCTTCCCCCCCAAATCATATGCATTACGACCTTTCTGAGATAATTTGTCTTTTCTGATAGCTTGTACTGCAAAATGTTGTAGTTGGCTTTTAAAGGAATTGAGTTTGAATTGGAGATCCTTGATGCAGAGCACTCTCTCATCACTGATAAAGTCCTTAAATTGCAGGAAAAGGTTAGCTTTTTTAGTAATGGAACTGGAATCTCATATTATTAATTTTCTTCCAATGCATGATCTTACTAAAATGTAAACTTTATAAAGACATTCAGATGGTCTTTTGATTTCTTTGTCAATGGAGCCTCCTCTCTTCGTCTCTTCTAACTGGCAGGCATG